TTAGGTTGTGTGCAATTCCACACACTTCCCAAACATCTTCCAGAACAAATAAAATTCAATTAAAAATATGTATAATTTGCCCATGGCTGACAACAATTAAGGGAGTGAGAGCAGGTGAAGCGATACCCATTCATTACTGTCAGCCAATATGGTAACTCGTTCATAAATAAAATGGCCTGGATGAAATAAATCTACCTAGTGAAAGACCTATGTAACTAAGGAATATAAGCAGCACACTTATAATTTGAGAAAAGCTGAAGTTCCAAAAACTGTAGAAAAATATTTCTTGAAAAAATGTTTTTTCCAACAGAGGCTTCAATACCACCACTACAAAAAATGCCTTCTGGTAGAAAATCTACTGCAAAAGAAGGTGAAGGACATGGAATGATGTAAATTAATTTTTTCACCCTGTAAAATAATTTATTTTGTGACAATGGAGACTTCTTTGGAAGTCTTTATGAAAAGGGAGAAACTGAGTAAGAGAGTGGCACAGTGCATTTACAGTCTAAGAGAAGTACCGGATTTTGAATCCTAACACATTATTTCACTCTGCAAACACACTTCACATGGACGGCAAAAACATCAGCCAACAAGGTGATCATTATGTGCTTTTGGGAGGCAAGGACAGATAAACATAGTGCAGCTGTCAAGTCTTTCTGCCAGTATTTTTAATAACATTCAGAGACAGCATTTAGCATCACCCTCCTACTATTCCTTGTTGGCCCAGTAGAACAAAGTCTTTGTTATACTCTAAGCACAGTGATTTCAGCCGAGCTATTTATTCACTGTGACCTATTAGCACTCACATGATCCACTTGCACACAAAAGGTCCCTAAGAAAGAGAGAGAGAAATGACTAGCTCTTTAGGTTGCTGGAACAAAATAAAACAATGTACTTGTCAAAACTCTAATATTAACAGCAATCAAATCGTTTCTAAACTACATTACCATAGAAGAAAAATTGTGTCTATTTAATAAGTATCTAAAACAGTCCAATCCACTTTCCTTATACATGCAGTAAGCCACACAAGAAGAAAATGCTGTATTTATTGATGTATGTTTGCTTTTAGCTGTACAAGTTTAGAAAGAGGCTTAATGCATTAATCCTTGAGATAGTGGAAGGAGTCCTCTGAATTCATTTTTGACACCCCCAAAATAAAACACTGGGGGAAAAATAAGATCTGCTGGCACAAAAACACAACTCCTTGTGTTGGCAGACTTTTGAAACAGTACACTGCTAACAATGCCCCAAGTTTATCAGGATAAATACACTGAGCAGAAAATTTTTAAAGTTTTAATCCAAAGTAAACTTAAAGCTGTAACAAAACCTATATTTGTTCTTAAAAAACCTTCCTTGACAGTGTCATTTGGGATATGGTGAAAGGGAAGCAGTATATTATGATGCATTTCTGCTTCAGTGCTTGATATGTGCCACTAAAAATTATCAAAAGGAAACTATACAGACAAGCTTTATCTATGTGTTATGTATACAACAGCCAAAACTAATCTGTTCTCAGAGGCTGAATCAGCAGTTCACTGAGAGAATTTCCAGTGGAGCACTGTCTGAGTCTGACATGGATGCAATTTGTTCAAAGCCCTGCTGCTTCTATTTAACACTTCTACTTAAAAGGAACATGAAAGTAAGAGTATTTTCAAAAAACAGTTTAATAATACTGAACTAAGAAAGCAGAAAATCTTGGTAACATTATTAGCATACAAAATTATTTTCACAAATTGATAATGTAAAAATCCAGAAGATATATTTCAGTAAAGGAAAGTGTGTAGTGGTATGCTTAAGAGAATTCAAAAATACAAATGCAAGATGGAGAATAACCAGGTATGCAGTAAGTTAACAGAGAAAGATCAGCAATTATGGTGGATAACAACCCGAATTAAGTAAAAAATGTTACTAACTTTCCAAATCTGCAATTCTCATATTGCCATGCATTAAAATGAATACCATCTGTACTGTGTAATATATATTTTTCTACTCTAATGTTATCTGTAATACTGGTAAAGGCTGTCCTGGGTGAATATATCGAAGAGTTTGCTGTTGATTCAGCCATGGTCTGGAAGAAAGAAAATAGTAAAACTTGGAAAATGTTGACCACTGGAGGCACTTTGTCCTACAGGACCAATGTCTTCCTACACTGAAGGTTGTAATAAAGAGAAAAAATTATTTGTAACTTTCCATATTATCTGATAAGGCACCAAGATAATATAATTAAAAGTACCCAATTTCTAAAAACTGGAGAGAGGCAGGGGAGAGAGAAGGAATTTACAAAAACTCTCTGGAAATGAACTACTGAATATTTTATTACAAGATCCAGATCTTGAGCTTTTAACTGAAGGCAGAATAACACATTTACCCCCCCAATCATTATTTACCATTTGTCACTGCATTATAACTTTTTCGTGGTAGTCACTATGAAGTTCTAGCTCTTGAACATCTGTTCTTTCAAAGCACAGAAATAAGCAGACCACCAAGAAGTCTACTTGCTTGCTCTATCTAGAAATACACCTCAAACATCAGCTATTTGGTAGTAATGTTTTTTACTTGAACAAGAGCCCACACCTGTGCTAAACTTAAGACTCCTAAATATGAGTTAGTTCAGAGGTGCCTCTGCATTCCCCTGAAAAACACCCCATGGTGTTCAAACTGCACAGGATGTCATGGTTGATTTATTATGCTAAATTTTGGCCGGGGAGATCAGTTTCACCCCGGAGATCAGGAAGTGGGCACGGAACAGCATTTCCACTATAGCTATTTCTTCTCTTTAACAGAATGAGCTCTTGACCACTGCAACTTTCACTGCTCAAATCCATTACATTCCTTAAAGACTTTTTTTAAAAGTCAATGCTCTCAAATGACCAAACACCAATTTTTCACCTCAGAAGTCTGACATAACCTGAGCACGCATTAACTAACAGCTACCCCCTTTACTGGCCCACAGTGACATACCAAGGTTAAATCGATCATCTGTTACTTTGTTTCAGTCCATAAGTTTATGAAATGTTAACAAATGTGTCAATATAAATAATAGTAATAAATTTCAAAAGACAAAATATGCAAGGAACTTAAACCATATTAATACACATAATTATGACTTTCGTGTATGAAACTTCTGGTGTAATGTGCATAAAGTATTTCTGATTCGCTGAAACAATCTGTTTCCATAAGTCAATAAGAAGCACACGTGTATTCTTCCAATAAGTGAAGAGAATGTTAATTGGTTTCCTAATTAAAAGATTGATGGGTTCAGCTAAACACTGAGAATTACTTTTAATGTGCGCAAAACTGCTTAGTCCAAGTTCAGTTTTTGATGTAATGTTTTAACTCCAAGTAAATACACACCATAGAAAACTAAATGCTAAACCACAGGATTCAGTTGCAGGCAGCTCAGCTAGCACCCCCGACAGCTTGCAGTCTAGGATCAACCTCAACAAGGGAAACTGTGGTGGAAGCTAGAGTGTTCCATTACAAAAGGTAATGGTAATGAAATAATTTTCATTAAACTCAGTTTCACAAGAGTCATAACTCTCATGGTATTGATATGTTACCATCGGTACCACATTTATACATGTTCTTTGCCATTATTCCTTCTCCATGTGCATACAAGAAATCACCATCCTGCTTCTATGCCTAGGAAGTCACTTTGATAATACCTTCAGGAAAAAAAAAACCCAAACATTTTCTATTAAAATTATCCTGTTCCACTATTTTTTTATATCTGTGAAACATTATTAACTTTGCAGACAAGCTTTTAAGAAACATTTTTAACTTTGCAGTCAAGACAAAATGTTTGTTTACCAGCAACAGCAAGAAGCAGCATTATTTCTGGATTACCATTTGCAGTGGACTTTTTAAAACTGAAACATGATTTCACAAGAATTAGATGTGGCAAACACAGGGGCACTGACTGTTCAGATGTTCAGAAATGTGGATACAGTACCCTCTAATTAAAGTATTCCAGCTCTAATTTCACAGGGCAGTGTTCAGAGGAGCACTGTGCAGCCCTCATGACAAGAGAGATTCAAGTGTCTTCCGAAATACTCTAGGCACAGCATTAACATTGCTTGATACAGTGTATCTGTTAAATCTATCACTATATCAAATTTTCTGTGTAGGTTGTGGATTTAACAGGGTGACTGCTATACTTCTTTAGCCACACAGTGTACTCACTGACATAGGAGAGGTTTTATAAAACCTCATAGTGATTTACTCAAAGCCTCTCTTTTACCAAAGAAAAAAAAAAAAAGAGCCCTTTTAGTCAGACGTTATACAAATGCCACTCTTCCAAGTAAAATTTTTTAAAAAAACCCTCCAACGTCCTAAAAACAACGAAACAAGCAAGCCTGGGCATATAAAAATGTGCACCTGGATCAACTGGTTAAAATTAAAAAAAAAATTATATATATAGATATTTTTATATATAAATTTATATATATACATATTTATATATATATGGACTGCATATGGATTGTATATGAATACATATGATATATTTTATAAGCATCATATATGAACGTACAATTTATAAATATGTAATATAATATATATCATATAATACATAAGGCCTATACTAACACAGAGAACATATTTAAGATCTATTTTCCCCTCTCCCCCGCCCGTCCCCACACGCTCCCCACGCCCGGCCCCGCCCCGGCCCCGCCGCACTCACTTGATGACCGTGCCTTTGGCGCCCCCTGCCGTCGTGAGCATGACGCGCGTAGTGAGGCTCCCGCGCAGATCGTCCTGGTCGAGGCCCAGCAGGGCGGCGCAGCGCTCCAGCGACGGCTGGCTCCGCGCCCGCGGCGTGCAGCCCCCTGGCGAGAGACACACACACACACCGCGTCACACACCGCACAGCACCCGCACCCCCTGAGGGACACACACACACACCGCGTCACGCACCCCACAGCACCCGCACCCCCTGAGGGACACACACACACCGTGTCACGCTCCGCGCACCCCACAGCACGGCAGGGCAACAGCCACCAACTGGCCAATGGTGATCCTACCCTGACCCTGCTGGTCATTGTCCACTAACATGTAATGTTACCAGTGAAGGTAATGTCAGCTTTGAAGGAATTAAAGGTTTGCCTCTGGAAATTACTTCATATAGTTAAATGGGAAGAGTCAGTTTTGAAAACCCAAGAAAATACCACGAAATAAATGCAAAAATAGCCCCCTGCCAAAAACTACGCACATAATTCTATATTTCTAGAACACTGTCCGGGCTGTTCAAAAACCATAGGGAAGCACTATCCCAAAATGCAGAAGTGCTAACACCTACAAACTAGCTGTAGTGACTCAAAACTTCTGGACTTAGATACTCCTGTAATCCTCCAGGCCTCCTTGCTATGCAGAAGAAGTGCCTGGCATGGCAGACTCCTACCATTTGCATTTTTCAGATAAAGGTATGTACACTTCCTAAGTAAACAGCCAAGAGAAGTGCTTCCTCCCTTTTGCTCTCTGCACCTCAGCCCTCTGTGCCAGGGCTAGGCCAGCACAGATCTCCCAACTGGAGCACAAAACACTTCAGGAAAATCTAACAGTTATTTACATGTATTTCCTGTTTTTTGCAGTAAGAATTTGTTCACAGTAAAATTTATTTCGACAGGTAAGCAAAGAGGTCAAAAGGGATGAATAAGTAGTCAAACATTACTCGAATTCTTTCCATTCCTCTACAATGACACTAAAGGTGGGGAGGAGGGGGGGGGAAGGGAGGAGTCCTTATAAGGCTTTTGCGACTTAATTTTGGATGCTCTGAAATACCATCTGACTTGTAGAAAACAACTTTTGTTTGGTGTTTCCCAGAAAGCAGTAACAGAACTTGAGAGAGTCTCTGGTAAGAGACATACTGCCTGGAACAGTTGGAATGCACACCCTGTGTGAACGAACACACATATAAGGTGAGAGCAGAATAAAGCCCAATGCAATAATCATTTCAGAAGTTCAATAATTTATTCCAGAAGAAAAATTTCTCTGAATTTCAACATTCAGAGAAGATAAGTTTTCTGGTGACCTTCCCTTTTCTAAACCCTGACTTTCCTCACCATCCATGGTTCCTCCTCTTCTTGTTTGTTTGCCTCCTGAAACTTCCTCTCCACTCACATTTGTACCTTTTTCACTCTGTTCCACCTTGTCAACCCCAAAGTCCCAACTCACAAAAGACCCAAACAGGGAAGCTCCCTGAGAAGCTTGCTGTTGAACTCCATGAAGCCATTACCCTTCTCTACCCCTGCACCTTTCAGATTCATTCACATTAATCATGTTCATTTCAGTCATCCTCATAAAGATGGAAACATCATGAACTGACACTGGGGAGGTTCTGATTTGACCTATGGAAAGGAGATGAGAAAAAAAAACCAAAAACAAAACAACACCTGCTCTATGCCAACCCTAAGATACCCAGTCTGAATTCAGCATTTGCCCAACTGATGGGATTAGAGACCTCTCATGATCTCTTCTGAACAGAATGTTCTGTACAGTTCCGTGGTGATTCTGTGCTTGGAGTCGGGAGCTAGTGAACCTGCAAGGCTAGTACTCATTTAACTTATTTAAAACACCTATTAAAATGTTCTTTGGTATGCCCTTCCAAACAACTTTACCAACAGCTATACATACTTGAAGCAGGACCAAGAGGAACCAGTATCTTGGAACTCAAGGTAAAGTCCTAGATGCTTATATTTTCTACTATAGTTATATTTGTAGTACATCCAGACCAGGGATTTCTTCAGTCCTTCAGGAGTATACAGACAGCAGTTCTCAGTTTAGAGAGGCTGATTTCAGTAGTAAGGTAAGAATGATGATCCCCAAAATATCAATTCTCCTTCCTCAACTTTCCTGCACATTCTGCTATTAATTCCCAGCTATACCTGTACTAACCCATCTTGTGAGCAACATCTTAAAATTAGGAAGTTTATATTGCCCTAAGTTTTTATGTAACTTTTTTTTTCCTCACCTCTCAAAATACTGCTATGATGGTATTCTTGGAAGCCAAAGGACTTAATGCCTTTCCCTACAGATAGTTTCTAATTACAAGATATTTTCATGAGGTTAGTGAGAAGTTGGACTTTAAAATTATCACTGAAACACAAGTATGATTTTGAGACACAGAATGTCTCTTTCCTTTATATAAAAATCTTCACTGAACATTTTCATTGAAAGCCTATTCGCTTTTAGAGCATGTAAAGAAGCACAATTTTAAAACGAGCAGGTAAACTTGACTTCAAAAGGGGGTGAATTAAGACTGAATTACCCTTGAACACAAAGCAGCTTTCTAAAGCCATAATTCACATGGACAGGAAACATCTCTAATCAAGAGACATTTCCAGTCTTTTTACAGAAAACAATTTATGCTTCATCTAACCTGATGTACTCCCAGCTTCCTCAAAATCAATATTTCCAAGATGAAGGACACCAGCCACTACTCTAAAAAGATCAAGTTTTTCTTCATCATCCAGTCCAATCTTTTTCATTGCTGTGCACATTCTGTTGAAATCTCCATGATCATCTAACAGTGGATCCTTCAAGGAACCTTCTTTAAGATACTATAAAACGAGATAAACCACAAATTCAGTAAGCGATTTGAAGTAGGTAGGCAAATATTTCCAGTCAAGAATAAGCCATAACAAAAAGCATAAAAAAAGCATGCCAAACTAGGTAAAAAGAGATTCGAGCTCTTCATGTAATACAGGCTTCGCAAGGACCCTAATTTATTTTAACTTGTTGATACTTGGAAGCATGATCTTCAAACTTAAATTTCAAAGCAAACTTCAAACTATCTTCAGAAAGCAGAAGCTGGAGAATGTGACAGCTAAGGACAGGGGAACACGGGATAGCAAGCAGGAGAAAGGAAGACTTCAGCTAAGGGAGCTATCAAAGCATTTATACAAAGGAGTCCTTCGAATCCCAAGCAGTTGAAAGAAGATCGAGGTCCTTGTAGCAGGATGACAGAATAACAGGCCATGGGAAAGGACCATAGGACAAATCAGTTATCCCTGTTCTAAACAGAATTATTTAGAGAAATGTACCTGTTAATATTTGCTGCTAATTAAGAAATAGAACTTGCAGTGGTCTATGGGTTAGAAAAATAGCAGCTATGTTCTGAAATACCAATTTAACATTTTGCTGATTTTTCTGATTTATATACATAGAAAGCTATTTTAACTATAAACGAGTTTAAACAGTAGATAGTAACACATCTGCATGCAATCAAGAGACTACCTGAACATGCACAGACTGAGCTACGTTTTTACAGTTATTTTTAAATTTTTTTCAACTAAAAAGAATAATTAACTAAATAGAAGCCTTGTTAATGTCAAATAAGCTAACGTCATTTTTATCAAAACAAAACACCACATGCATCTGAAAAATTCACTTCACACAACATGTAGGCACATCAATAACATTAAACTACATGTTAATTATGTAAAATGATCACCTCATCTTCCTGATAAGGAAAACACAAAAATAATTGAAGTATTAATTGACTATTCCAGCTAATTTATTAAAATAAACAATCTTAGTATTTTCTTATAAAATGACAGAGTAAATACTAAATTTCCAATTTAAAAAGCCCAACAAGGTAATATATTTCCTGTTTAAATGGCTAGACTAGGTTTAAATATCATTGAACTTTGATCCTCTATTGAGCCTTCAAATTGATATACCTGTAACATACAAGTATTATTGTATCAGAAGTTCCAGTACTTTATGTTTTACATATATTTTCAGAATTATTCTATAAGTATATTTTGGTTTAGACAACACTTATTTCAAAGTAAGTCTTCTCCTATTTCAAATTAAGTCCTTTAGAGGACAAGTTTTATGACAGAACACCCGCCTGTAAATCATATCAGTAACAGAAGATTGCACAGGTTCATCTTCCAGTAGCAAGAGTAAGTGAATGTTGATACTCTATGCCTACATAAATGACCTGACCAGCATTGCTACAAATCTTCATTTAAAGCAAATTGGGTAATCTGAGACAAAATCTCCAACCCATATCATAGCCTATATGCCTGACATGAACAAAATAATCTATGAGCTTTCTGCCTCACAGTAATGTAAAATCACTCTCCACCATCCCTGATTATAGAAAATAGCGTACGTTTAAGCAAAAGAAATCAGGATTATGTGCTCAGTGTTACAACATACAACCACTAGGAATCAAGGAGTAAACAATGTTGACTTGAGAAAAGGAAGTATCTATACTGTCTCTCATAGCTAGGCATGAGCTTCAAGCCCAAGTTATCAAAAATAAAAGAGATGGCATGGTGATTTGGTTGAAAGAAGCTTTTGAGTAAAGTTATTTTTGTATTTTTGCCAATATATGCAGCTTATCCTGCTATGGAATCACAAATACGGATTTGATTAATATTTGAAATATCTTCCAGCTATACAAATGAATTTCATACTTTAGGTATGAGTAGATGAAAATTTTATTAGAGAACAGAGCAGAAGTGTAATTATGTGTTTAAAGAACTTCCAATTCATATATACTATTAATTCAGAACAAATTCTTTAGTATCCTCATGTAAACAAGCTCAAAGGCTTAAATGCTAAAGAATCCTGGTAATTCCAGTTCTAAAAATACATAAACAGAGATGGAGCAAGAGGACATAAATGTTTTTAAGTTTCACACTTTCTTCCAGGAAATGCCATGCTCTGACATAACTAGCCGTTAACAGCATGGGGAAAACAAAAACCATGAAAGTGTATCAAGGAGGAGAATATATTCATGCTAGCAGTGAGGTTGAGTTATAACTGATATCTAAAACAGTTTGGAGCATCCCTTCACAACTCCAGACAGTAAAAATGGCTCTGGGAAAAAAACATTGCTTCTGACTTATTCTTAGCAGTAGTAAGATTTTAAAAAGGAAAATTACAGAAAGTCTTGAATAGATTTTTCTTTTCCACAGAAGACAAGCTGCATAATTTAGTGTTACCTTATTATAAGAATGAAAAGGAAACCATTTTATATACACTGTTCCGCTTGGGATTTTACGATGCATGTTAAAATGTATTTCTAGGACTGAACTCCAAAACAGAGATCTGAATAGAGCAGCTTTGACAGTACCCATTAGACCTATAAAGATGTGTAAAATTTATTCCATTCTGTAAAAATATAATAATTTTCTACTCTATCTGCATTAGTTAATAATATAAACTAACTGAAGATACAAACATACCTCAGGACTCTTGCGATTTTGCAAAATCTGTTTGTCCGTTTCTTTGTTAGCAAAAAATCTGGTGCAGCCTCGATTTAAATACTGTAAAAATAAAAAAGTGGAAGTGGATACTTAGAGACAGAAGTAAGGAACACGTATGTTTTTATTTAAGGTTTCCCCTACATAGCTTGATTTAAACACATGATACAAACAATACAGTAAGTAGTCAGAATTCATTCCTTACAAATGTATTTATTTACATCTACAAAATCAAAGAACTGCAACAATAACAAACTTCTGTTGAAAGCTTCTTCATTTTGACAACTAAAATACTTTTTGACACATTGGGATATTAATTTTGTTAAGTCACACAATATTTTCCTAATGTTTGATTCTATTAAACCTATTAATGGAGTCCGGGATTACACAGAAGACACCCAAAATTAGGAACAAAAGAAATTAATCTTCTGGCCTATGTATAATACCAAAGTACTAATTTTTTTCCTCACCAGTGAAATATTTCTATAAGAGAGACATAATGTATTCAAAAACCTGAATAATATTAAAAGCTTGTAACATGCTATAAGCAGAAGCCTTATTCAAAACCTGGCTTCTGATATACATCTCATGTTCTACAGTAAATTCAGATTTACTATTCAGTAAATCATAGTGAATTTAGATTCAGATAATGACTGCCCTTTTCAGCAAAACAGGATCGCCAGCTTTTTCTTTCAGAT